ACTGCATATTTTTTGTTCTTTTGACCAGTTTTCATTTTCTGCAAATAAATGCTCTAAATGACAATATTTTTTTTGGGAATTTGGGAGAAATGTTGTCAGAATAAAACAAAAATGTTGATTTCACACAAACACATACCTATAAGTAGTAAAACCAGAGAAACTTATATTTTTGCAGTGGTCTCTTAATTCTTTCCAGAGCTGTATATACACTGCTCAAAAAAATTAAGGGAACACTTAAACAACACAATGTAACTCCAAGTCAATCACACTTCTGTGAAATTAAACTGTCCACGTAGGAAGCAACACTGATTGACAATAAATGTCACATGCTGTTGTGCAAATGGAATAGACAACAGGTGGAAATTATAGGCAATTAGCAAGACACCCCCAATAAAGGAGTGGTTCTGCAGGTGGTGACCACAGACCACTTCTCAGTTCCTATGCTTCCTGGCTGATGTTTTGGTCACTATTGAATGCTGGCGGTGCTTTCACTCTAGTGGGAGCATGAGACGGAGTCTACAACCCACACAAGTGGCTCAGGTAGTGCAGCTCATCCAGGATGGCACATCGATGCAAGCTGTGGCAAGAAGGTTTGATGTGTCTGTCAGTGTAGTGTCCAGAGCATGGAGGCGCTACCAGGAGACAGGCCAGTACATCAGGAAACGTGGAGGAGGCCGTAGGAGGGCAACAACCCAGCAGCAGGACCGCTACCTCCGCCTTTGTGCAAGGAGGAGCAGGAGGAGCACTGCCAGAGCCCTGCAAAATGACCTCCAGCAGGCCACAAATGTGCATGTGTCTGCTCAAACGGTCAGAAACAGACTCCATGAGGGTGGTATGAGAGCCCGACGTCCACAGGTGGGGGTTGTGCTTACAGCCCAACACCGTGCAGGACGTTTGGCATGTGGTCCTCTGTAGCTCAGCTGGTAGAGCACGGCGCTTGTAACGCCAGGGTAGTGGGTTCGAACCCCAGGACCACCCATACACAAAAATGTATGCACGCATGACTGTAAGTCGCTTTGGATAAAAGCGTCTGCTAAATGGCATATTATTATTATTATTATTTGCCAGAGAACACCAATATTGGCAAATTCGCCAGTCATGGTGTGGGGTGGCATTTCTTTGGGGGGCCGCACAGCCCTCCATGTGCTCGCCAGAGGTAGCCTGACTGCCATTAGGTACCGAGATGAGATCCTCAGACCCCTTGTGAGACCATATGCTGGTGCGGTTGGCCCTGGGTTCCTCCTAATGCAAGACAATGCTAGACCTCATGTGGCTGGAGTGTGTCAGCAGTTCCTGCAAGAGGAAGGCATTGATGCTATGGACTGGCCCGCCCGTTCCCCAGACCTGAATCCAATTCAGCACATCTGGGACATCATGTCTCGCTCCATCCACCAACGCCACGTTGCACCACAGACTGTCCAGGAGTTGGTGGATGCTTTAGTCCAGGTCTGGGAGGAAATCCCTCAGGAGACCATCCGCCACCTCATCAGGAGCATGCCCAGGCGTTGTAGGGAGGTAGTCTCCCGAGTGGCGCAGTGGTCTAAGGCACAGCATCGCAGTCCTAGCTGTGCCACTAGAGATCCTGGTTTGAATCCAGGCTCTGTCGTAGCCGGCCACGACCGGGAGACCCATGGGGCGGCGCACAATTGGCCCAGCGTCATCTAGGGTAGGGGAGGGAATGGCCGGCAGGGGATGTAGCTCAGTTTGTAGAGCATGGCGTTTGCAACGCCAGGGTTGTGGATTCGATTCCCACGGGGGGTATACAATTTTTTTTTTTTATTAATTTTTTTAAAAATAAAATAATGTATGCACTAACTGTAAGTCGCTCTGGATAAGAGCGTCTGCTAAATGACTTAAATGTAAATGTACATGTAATACAAGCACGTGGAGGCCACACACACTACTGAGCCTCATTTTGACTTGTTTTAAGGACATTACATCAAAGTTGGATCAGCCTGTAGTGTGGTTTTCCACTTTAATTTTGAGGGTGACTCCAAATCCAGACCTCCATGGGTTGATACATTTGATTTCATTTGATCATTTTTGTGTGATTTTGTTGTCAGCACATTCAACTATGTAAAGAAAAAAGTATTTAATAAGATTATTTCATTCATTCAGATCTAGGATGTGTTGTTTAAGTGTTCCCTTTATTTTTTTGAGCAGTGTATATAATCAGTACCAGTCAACATTTTGGACATACCTACTCATTCAAGTTTTTAAAAAGTTTAAAAAAAACTATTTTCTACATTGTAGAATAATAGTGAAGACATCAAAACTATGAAATAACACATTTGGAATCATGTAGTAACCAAAAAAGGGTTAAACAAATCAAAATATATTTTAGATTCTTCAAAGTAGCCACCCTTTGCCTTGATGACAGCGTTGCACACTCTTGGCATTCTCTCAACCAGCTTCATGAGGTAATCACCTGGAATGCATTTCAGTGTGCCTTGTTAAAAGTTACTTTGTGGAATTTCTTTCCTTCTTAATGCGTTTGAGCCAATCAGTTGTCTTGCGACAAGGTAGGGGTGGTATACAGAAGATTTGGTAAAAGACCAAGTCCATATTATGGCAAGAACAGCTCAAATAAGCAAAGAGAAACGACAGTCCCATCATTACTTTAAGACATGCAGGTCAGTCAATCCGGAAAATGTCAAGAACTTTGAAAGTTTCTTCAAATGCAGTCGCAAAAACCATCAAGCGCTATGATGAAACTGGCTCTCATGAGGACCGCCACAGGATAGGAAGACCCAGAGTTACCTCTGCTGCAGAGGATAAGTTCATTAGAGTTAACTGCACCTCAGATTGCAGCCCAAATAAATGAAAAACAGTATGAACACCTGCTCTTTCCATGACATAGACTGACCAGGTGGAAGCTATGATCCCTTATTGATGTCACTTGTTAACTCCACCCCAATCCGTGTAGATGAAGGTAATAAGACAGGTTAAAGAATGATTTTTAAGCCTTGAGACAATTGAGACATGGATTGTGTATGTGTGCCATTCAGAGGGTGCAACTCAATATTTGCTGTTTTGTACACAGTGTATGTCTGCTGAAGAGATTATTTTTTGATCAGTCAAGCTATAGGATAAAAAATACCGGAGTTTTGGCACAGGTACAGTCGGCTAACGCTATCTAGCGAATCGATACACTGTAAAAAATTACAAGTTGACGGAACAAAAAGAAGTTTCCTGGTTGCCTTAAAATGTTGATTAAGTTAAGCAAAGGATCTCAAGTTATTTCAACACACACTTCAGTTTGTTCAAATTAAAATAAGAAGTTCCGATGACTTCCCTGACTGATGATAAACCATTGAATCAACATAGAATATTTAGTCTAAGGAAGTGATGTTTATGTTGAACCAACAAAGTAGTTTCAGTTCCCTCAGCTCAAATTAAAGTTTGTCAAACTTAAAACAATTAGTTCTGCAAACTAAATATTTGTGGTCTTATCAACTATCTATTTTAGTAGTTCCAACAAAGTTATTCAATGCATTTCAACTTAGCATCTGGTTGAGTGAACTTAAAATCCTAAGGCAATCAGGTAACTTTTACAGAAAGTTGGCCCTACTAGCGATCTTAAATTTAGTCAACTTCCTTGACCGTTAACATTTGCCATGACAACAAAAGTGTTCCAACAGGATCAACTAAAAACTCTCTGAAACAAGATTTCACTATTAAAAGTGCAAATGTATTTTAACAATTGTCCTACAGACAATAATACAATTTTAACATAATTTTGAACCATATACATTTCCAAATATGCAAAACAACAAAGTGCTGTACATAAACTGTATGCATGGATTTACCATTGTTCTAAAAATGAAAAGAATATATAAAATCAACAATTTCCCAAAACGATCAAGGCCATTAATAAACAAAACATTTCCTTGGGACAGTGTTTCTGAGTGTAGATTTGGTTTCAACTATAACAGAGTTGTGACACTATAACAGTGGCACTACTACCACTTTGGAATCATACAACTTTAATTACTAATGCCTATGGTCTTTAAACCAACGAACAACAACGTTACTATGTCCCTGTGACACTGTTTCTGTGTAGATGGCTCATTGGTTTCAACTATAACAGTAGGCTGGCTGCCTTGTTGTGTTTCACAACTTGCCTCTATAATGTGCCCTGAAGCAATTTGTTTCATAGTCCAAGAGTACGTGCAGAGCAGGTCCCCCCACCAACGTCCATCAGAACCTTCTGGAGGACCTCAAAGGTATATTTCAATCCCTTTGGATAATCAATATTTAGGCTGTTAAGTAGACCCACCAAAACACAGAAAGCAGTAAGTACATCACTTAGTTAATTCAAAACAATGTGCCCCTCCAGTATAACAGAAACATCCAGAACATTATTTGGTAACACAGCCTCTTCTCCATCTTCTCTGACAATCAGAACTCCAACATCCACTCCTGTCACAACTCCCTCCTTGGAATCAGAAGCCTGAAAGTTATCACACAACACTGAATTACTAATCTGTCTAACATCAGTATTCAAAACTTGCCCTACATCCTGAAACACAATACATGGAGCGACAGTGGCTCAGCGGGTCGAATAAGGTTGTCTAGCAACCGGGAGGTTGGTGGTTCGATCCACGGTTCCCACTGGCCAAGTGTGGAGGTATCCATGAGCAAGACACCTAACACCAGCTGCTCCCGACGAGCTGACTGGCGCCTTGCATGGCTGACACCACCGTCGGTGTATGAATGAGTGAATGTGAGGCACTGTAAAGTGCTTTGAGTGGCCATTGGTTAGAAAAGCGCTATATAAATGCAGTACATTTATCATTTTATTTATGGGTAATATTGTAATAGTTGTAATATCTAGGTCTCAAAACCACTTTAAAGCTTCCACAGAAAGGTGGGTGATATCAGAACAACATCACATTAACCCTTGGGAGTTGAAATCCGTGTGCATAGTTTACATGTCGTCGAATAAAAAAACGTTAATAGATATATCTATAGAAACGTATCATTTTGTTCCTGATACTCTAGCCATTCTGCTAAAGTTACACAGGCTGAGTAATGTGAGCACAAAGTGGACCAGTATATCCAGCTGAAGGAATGAACATACGTTTTTTGGATTTCTCTCTAAAATGTCAACTTCTAAGTCAAGAATAAGATATTTAACATTCTCAAAAAGAATGTCAACTGTTCTGTGCAGTTGAGATTCAGCTGAATTCAGTAGTATATTCATTATAACAAAGGGGGACCAAAAAAGGGGGACCATTTTGGAGGCCATAAAGTGAAGATCTAGGCAGATTTAATGAAAAATTAAATATATAGTCTCCCAAGGGTTAACACACAATGACATGTTTCTTTCAACTGTCCAACACACCTGGCAGAACTTAATGAAGTTGGAGGGGTCTTCTTTCATGAAGTGTGGCAACCCAAGCAGCGCTGCAGCTCTTTTGTTCTGGTTGGAGTTCTGAGACAACATGAAACCACAAATTAACAAAAAAATTACTTTCTTTACAGACTCCTTGCACATGCAATACTATCAATCTATTTGTTCCCTTACAGCAGGATTCATCAACTCTGGTCCTGAAGGGCCGAAACACTTCTGATTTTTGTTCTCCCTTTCTAAAAAGGGATTGGTTTAGACCTGGGAAAGCAGGTGATTGCAATTATCTACTAGGTAAAATAAAAAATCTGAAGTGTTTTGGGACCGGAGTTGATGAACCTTGCCTTACAGTTTCTGATATAATGAAAGTTTGCTGTCCGAATGAGACCTTAAGAAATAATGCTTGGTAAAAAAAAACACAAACATACTATCAGAATAAAACTATTGTGTCATTTTAAATAGGTGTGACTTTTTCACTTACTTGAACACCCAAAGACTCCAACAGATGTTGAAGTTGTGTGACGCGACTACCTTGAGCTCTGTACAACTCAAGGAGTCTTGGCACATACCGGTCGAGCCCATCCAGCAAGGATTTGTGGAGGTCAGCTGACACAAGGCGCATAAATTCAGCTGCAATCTGAAGACAAATGCCATAAAATCAACATGTATCACAACAGAAAACAGTAATAATGAGGATGTTACATGTGATGGTTTCCCAAATTGTATCTGGCAAACATTTCAAGGACTCACCTGTCTTTGTGAAAACAATGCTGGCCATTTGCTTTTAACGTCAGACACCAGTGGCTCGTTTTCAACTATTTCCTGTCTCCGCAGCGCAAATGTGCTTCTCATCAGTGAATCAATCCTTTTCAGGTCCGGCTTCTTCTTCTTTATCTCATCTTCAAACGTTTTTCTCTCCTCCACCAGGCTGTCGAGAGTTCTCCCTTGAGGAATATCTGGAAGGAAATTGATCTCTAACCGTTTAGCTTTTTCAGTTTATTGGCTCCACTCCCTGCACCCGATGACCTTTTGCTGTTGATTCTTAGCTCAGGACTTCCAGCTAGGCGATAGTTTTGACGAAGATTTCCCATCTTAAAACCGAGGCTAAACTTCCAACAGTACCATCCCTCTGTGGACCCTAGCTCTCTTAAGCAAGGATGCTTTTTTACAAGGGCTTTTGCTACTTCTTCAACTTGTTTCTGGGTTGGATATGATTTAAAGTCATACATTGCACGTCCAAGCTTGTCCAGAATGTCAGTCTTGACATCATTGGTAGTGGTCAACAGTGAACCATTGTTTTCAAAAGGCGTAATTTCCTTTTCTGAGTTTCAACTCTATGTCATAAGAAAAGCTTGGTATGACAAATGATTCAGGCCAGTGCTTTGAACGACCGCTGAGTGATGAAGCCTGTCCTGATGAGCAGCTGGAAGTGTCCACACTACCTGTGTCCAAAGTGTAGTCCGATCGGGATGAGCTGGGTGGTGCCTTCATTATAATCTTCTATTTCACCCTTTCTGTAGATAGCTCGGATATGTCAGTCACGTTGCAGAACTCATTGTTGAATTCTGGATCCTGAAATTGGATGATCATCTCACCCTCCAGGATGAGTTTGCGCTTAAGCACAGTCTTTAGTTCATCAACCGTCTCTGGAAGTGTTTCAATTTGAACTCTCCGGATGTCATCATCCGCAAGGAATACATGAAGCAACATGCTGGCTGTTGTACAGACAAAAAAGTGAGAAACAGTTTTAAACAATTACTAACAAGGCAAACACAAAATATATTTTCTTAACAAAACCCTTAGTGGTGTATAAAGCTCTTGGGTGAAACCAGAAGTCTTCCTTGTAAAAGGTAGGATGAGAGCGGGGAGTAGCAGTTTAGTTGTTCTAGTTCTGGTACAAAGAGTTCTTTGGAAGGCTTCTTGGTGAGTTCATAGCACCTGAGGTGTTCCAGGTACCAGATTAAATACGGTTAAACAATGAAGGATGCCGTTTCTGCTACAATTAGAACTTTCACAATTTTGCCAAAGTCAGGGAGTCCACTTGTCTTACCAATAGACACAAACATGCCCTCAGTGTACTTTGTGCCATGTATAGAACACTGGAAGCAAGAGATACAGATTCCACATCTTTATGTTTGTCACGCCCTGACTCTAGGACTCGTATTTGTTGAGTCAGGGTGTGTATTTTCTGTGTCGTGTGGTGCTATGTTTATTGTCTATGGTTAGATCTAGTATGTATAGATCTATGTTGGCCAGGGTGGTTCCCAATCAGAGGCAGCTGTAGCTCGTTGTCTCTGATTGGGGACCATACTTAGGTAGCCTGTTGGCACTAGTGGGTGGTGGGATCTTGTTCCGTATAGGTTTCTTGTGTGTTACCTTGAGACTTCACGTATCGTTTGTTTGTTATTTTGTTGTGTGTTTATTCGCTTAATAAACATGTACGCTTATCACGCTGCGCCTTGGTTCGACCAGTCTTTAAACGATCGTGACAGAAGATCCCACCAAATGAGGACCAAGCAGCGTGTCCAGGAGCAGACAGCCTGGACCTGGGAGGAGATCCTGGACGGGAAGGGATCCTGGACTTGGGAGGAGATTCAGGCCGGAATGGATCGGCGTCCTTGGGAGGAGACAGTGGAGGCGCGCTATAGAAAGGAGCAGCGGCAACGCAGAAGGTGCCGGCCGAGGAGGAAGCCCGAGAGACAGCCCCAATAATTTTTTTTGGGGGGGCTAAAAGGGTGGTTGGCGGAGCCTAGTGTTAGAGCAGAGCCAACTCCCCGTACTCATGCTAGGAAGTGTGTGACTGGGCAGGCTCTGTGTTATGCGGAGCTACGTACTGTGCCGCGAGTGTTCCGGCACAGTCCTGTACGTCCTGTGCTAGCACCACGCACGTGTCGTGCGAAGATGGGCATTCAGCCAGGACGGGGTGTGCCGGCTCAACGCTCGTGGTCTCCAGTACGCCTCCTCGGTCCCGTATATCCTGCGCCGGTGCTACGTACTGTATCGCCAGTACGTGTGCACAGCCCCGTACATCCTGTGCTAATGCCTCACACATATTGTGTGGAAGTAGGCATCCAGCCAGGACGGGTTGTGTCAGCTCTCCGCTCCAGACCTCCAGTCCGCCTCCACAGTCCGGTACGGCCCGTTCCTGCTCCCCGCACTAAGCCAGTGGTGCGTGTTCCCAGTCCGGCCCGGCCCGTTCCTGCTCCCCGCACCAAGACAGTGGTGCGTGTTCCCAGTCCGGCCCGGCCCGTTCCTGCTCCTCGCACCAAGCTAGTGTTGCGCGTCGCCAGCCCGGTCCGGCCCGTTCCTGTCCCTCGCACCAAGCCAGTGGTGCGAGGGACAGCTTGGTGCGCGTCGCCAGCCCGGTCCGGCCCGTTCCTGCTCCCCGCACCAAGCCAGTGGTGCGTGTTCCCAGTCCGGCCCGGCCCGTTCCTGCTCCTCGCACCAAGCCAGTGGTGCGTGTTCCCAGTCCGGCCCGGCCCGGCCCGTTCCTGCTCCCCGCACCAAGCCAGTGGTGCGTGTTCCCAGTCCGGCCCGGCCCGTTCCTGCTCCCCGCACCAAGCCAGTGGTGCGTGTTCCCAGTCCGGCCCGGCCCGTTCCTGCTCCCCGCACCAAGCCAGTGGTGCGTGTTCCCAGTCCGGCCCGGCCCGTTCCTGCTCCTCGCACCAAGCCAGTGGTGCGCGTCGCCAGCCCGGTCCGTTCCTGTCCCTCGCACCAAGCCAGTGGTGCGCGTCGCCAGCCCGGTCCGGCCCGTTCCTGTCCCTCGCACCAAAAAAAAAAAAAAAGAAAGTGTAAAGTGGTTTTCCCACTGGCTATAGGGTGAATGCACCAATTTGTAAGTCGCTCTGGATAAGAGCGTCTGCTAAATGACGTAAATGTGCCCTTGAGCAAGGCACTTAACCCTAATTGCTCCTGTAAGTCGCTCTGGATAAGAGCGTCTGCTAAATGACTAAAATGTAATGTAAATGTAAGCCAGTGGTGCGCATCGCCAGCCCGGTCCGGCCCGTTCCTGTCCCTCGCACGAAGCCAGTGGTGCGCGTCGCCAGCCCGGCCTGTTCCTGTCCCTCGCACCAAGCCAGTGGTGCGCGTCGCCAGCCCGGCACATCCCGTTCCGGCTCCCCGCACCAAGCCAGTGGTGCGCGTCATCAGCCCGGTCCGGCCCGTTCCTGTCCCTCGTATCAAGCCAGTGGTGTGTGTGTCCAATACGGCACGGCCCGTGCCTGTCCCACCGGTGCCTGGTCCGGCACAGGTTAGCTGCTCCACTCCGGAGCCAGAGCAATCTGCTCCACCGGGGTCCAGTCCAGCTCCGGTCAGCGGATCCACTCTGGAGCCAGAGCAGTCCGCTCCACCGGTGCCCAGTTCAGCTCCGGTCAGCTGCTCCACTCCGAAGCCAGAGCAATCCGCTCCACCGGGGTCCAGTCCAGATCCGGTCAGCGGCTCCAGTCCGGAGCCTGAGAAGTTCGCTCCACCGTCGTCGGGTCCAGCTCCAGTCAGCGGTTCCAGTCCAGACCCAGACGTCAGCCCCTCTCCAGGTTCGGGGTCTCCCACACCAGGGTCCAGACAGGACTTGGTACGTCGTGGGAGGAAGGAGAGGGGAAGCAGCGCGCCGAGGTCCAGACCAGACCAGGGGCGCAACAGGGAGGTGGAGAGTAAGTGGTGGTCACGCCCGGAGCCGGATCCGCCTCCGAGGCGGAATGCCCACCCGGCCTCTACCCTGTTATGTTTATGTGGTGCGGTCGGAGTCCGCACCTTTGGGGGGGGTACTGTCACGCCCTGACTCTAGGACTCGTATTTGTTGAGTCAGGGTGTGTATTTTCTGTGTCGTGTTGTGCTATGTTTATTGTCTATGGTTAGATCTAGTATGTATAGATCTATGTTGGCCAGGGTGGTTCCCAATCAGAGGCAGCTGTAGCTCGTTGTCTCTGATTGGGGACCATACTTAGGTAGCCTGTTGGCACTAGTGGGTGGTGGGATCTTGTTCCGTATAGGTTTTTGTGTGTACCTTGAGACTTCACGTATCGTTTGTTTGTTGTTTTGTCGTGTGTTTATTCGCTTAATAAACATGTACGCTTATCACGCTGCGCCATTGGTTCGACCAGTCTTTAAACGATCATGACAATATTTTAACTTAATAGCTTGTTTAATTGTCTTATCCAAAATGTCTGGAGAAACGAGAGACACATTCACAACTTCCAAAGGGGGCTTAAAAAGGCTGGGCATGTCCAAGAAGTAAGCCAGCATGAGTTGGTGTCTTGTGGCTAATGTGAGCAAAATGTTTTTTAAATTGTTCGCATCATGGACAACCTTTTTGAAAAAACTATGCTTAGCTTCAAAACGGATAGTCCAACAGTCAACCAAAGGTCCAAAGCAACGGATGAGGTAGGGATAATGTTCCAAAAAATGATGTTTTGGTCTTAAACGAAAATCAGGAAACATCACCTGCAGCAACTGTCTATGGACTGAGATTTTATATTCCAAATAGCACAGCGACTCAGTTGTGTACACAGACGAGGACAAAAGTTCTACAATATCTTTCAATTCAAGAAGTACTCTCCACGTGTTGTCATTATCTGGGACTAGTTCACCAATCATCAAGGGCAACAGCCTTAAAAGAGTCCAATTCTCATGTCCGTTTCCACCAATTGTTCCGTTAACTCAAAGTCTGAGTTACTCTTTGGGGTCGGTTAGTCTTATCTGAGAATGAGTATGGGAAGTGTTGAACTGTACTATTTCACTTGTCTAATGTGAAGTATTTATTAGAAATCAACTTGCCCAGACACAAACTAAGTTGGACAGGCACAATTCCCTCTAAAAGGTTGTGAAGAAAGTCAAGTGGGAACCCTGTAGTTGAGTGAAAGTAGCTCAACCTGTTTAAAACACAGTCCCTTTTTACACCATCTACACACGGCTGACCAAACAAAATCTACAACATTTGTCGACATTAAAGGATTCCTGAAAACCAGCAAGTGAATGGGCCCCCAAGTTATCAGCAGAGACAAAGAGTACGGTACCCCTAATATTTGCCCCCAAACGCTGGATAAACACTCCGTGATTTTCAAGTAGCTCTATGTCTTTCATAAGTGGGTCTAAAATTGTATCATAACCAAACGTTTTTACATCATTAATGTTACACAAAACTGCAAGGTAGATAGAAGAGAGAGAGGCTCTATATTTGATCGCTAGATTGGCAATAACCCAATACACAGCACACACTTTATGTTTTTTCCTTGAGGTGCCTAATGGGTTACAAACCTCAAAATCATCAATATACAAGCCAACCGCAATTGAGAGCTCATCTCGTGGATTTTCTTTAAAGAATGAGCCATCCCGAAATGACTTAAACTGACCAGACTGTGATTTAGTACAAGATTCTTCGGTTTAGCAACTCAGTTATGACACTTAATATAGGCACATTTACAAATGTTTTTTTTGCAGTCTACATCTAATACATATTACATTTACGTCATTTAGGAGACGCTCTTATCCAGAGCAATTAGGGTTAAGTGCCTTGCTCAAGGGCACATCAACAGATTTTTTTCACCTAGTCAGCTCGGGGATTAGAACCAGCGACCTTTCGGTTACCGGCACAACGCTCTTAACCACTAAGCTACCTGCCGCCCTATAACAGATAAATTACCTTTTAAAAAAGTTGGGCAGTGCCAAGAGAACCACTCCTTGAAAGCAAACCAAGTGGAATTGTTTCCTCTATT